GGTGGGCAAACTTTTTGACTCGAGGGCCACAGTGGGTTCTTAAACTGGACCGGAGGGCCAGACAAAAGCATGGATGGAGTGTTTGTGTGAACTAATATTAATTCAAAGTAAACATCATTACATAAAAGGGTATGGTCCTTTTTCTTATCTTTTCTTTTTTTTTTTTAGTTTTATTCATTTCAAGCGGGCCGTAGTTTGCCCACGGCTGGTCTAGGTGGATCTTCCTGTGCCTGGCTGAGGCCACAGAGATCCAGAGGCCAGCTGAGCCTTTATTTTATAGCCAGAGGTAAACAAGGTAGTGGTCACCATAGTTACAGTGTTCTTGTGAGTTTCACTTGTTTTGGCAGCACTTGCTGCCCTCCTATAGCCCATTAGCTTCCCAGGAAGGATCTAGGAAGCGTCATAAGGTCAAGCCTAATTATGCTAAGAAGACTGTGCCCTTTAAGCTGGGACTTGTTTGTGGCTTTGCCAACAGGTCAGTCTGAGGCTTAACCCTATAGCTGTGCCCTACAACCTTTAAATAGAAAAAGAAGCACAAAAACACAAAGCCCAAAGAGTGTTGGTGTGACCACACCGTGTACTTCTCTCCCTGTTCAGTGGTTATGTGGCTGCTGACTAGAAAAGTAAACCACTGGTGGCCATGGGAGCCCTTGGTTGCCAAGGTCTTAACCACACATGGCTGCTCCTCTGTGCACAGGTTCTCTTAAGGCTCACCTGGTGCAAAGAATACTCACCAAAAGGGGTAACAGAGACAGGAACTAAAATGTAGGAGCTTCCAGGTGTCACAAGAATTCATCAAAACCCTTGTAAAGGCCTAGCTTGTTGCGCAGTGGTTAGAACATCAGCCCTTAGACTGGAGGGTCTTGGGCTCGATTCTGGGCAAGACTCCATCCTGGCCCCAGTCGAGGCACATGTGAGAGGCAATCAATCGATGTGTCTCTCTCACATTGATGTTTCTGTCTCTATCTCCCTTCCCTTCGACTCTCTCTAAAAATAAAAATAGAAAAAATATCCTCAGATGAGAATTAACAACAATAAAAAATCCTCGTTAAATAGATGAGTAAATAGGTGATGAGTAAATAGATTTGATCTATTTACGTGCCACATGAGAACTTAGATGACATTTTTTAAAAAGAATCTTTAAATCCTGCCCTAGTGATGGTTCTAGAGCAGGGGTGGGCAAACTTCTTGACTCGAGGGCCACAATGGGTTCTTAAACTGGACCGGAGGGCCGGAACAAAAGCATGGATGGAATGTTTGTGTGAACTAATATAAATTCAAAGTAAACATCATTACATAAAAGGGTACGGTCTTTTTTTTTTTTTTTAGTTTTATTCATTCCAAACGGGCCGGATCTGGCCCGCGGGCGTAGTTTTCCCACGGCTGTTCTAGAGCAATTATCAATTGTTGGAGCAGTTATTACAGAGGAGGTGGAGATACAGCCAGGAAACCTATTTCTTTCTAATAGTTCTTCACATAGAGCCTGGGTGACTTTTTTCCTTTTCACTCCTCTGTTAGGGTATCTACAAAAGCTTGTGGCACTTGCCTAGAGATCCAAGCCAGGTGCTAGAGGTCAGCAGAATCTGGCGTTGGCAGAGGAGTCCTGAGTGCCACATGGCCTGTGTTCTTACCACAAAAGACCCAGAGGCCCTTGGGCAAAGCCAAGGGAAGCAGCACTCCACTGTGGTGGTATGCAGGTCTGCAGGCCACTCTCTCATCACCTTATAGCATGATTGCATTTGTGAGACTTTGAAATCACATGACAAAGAAACGTTAGTTTTTATCCATGAATTTGACATAACGTGCCTTTACGTCGAACCCTGTCAGAGAATTTTTCTTAGGTCGTGTCAAATTTTTTTTTTAATCCTCACTGGAGGATGACATGCTTAGAGAGAGGAGAGAGAGAGACATTGATGTGAGAGAAACATCGATTAGTTGCCTTCCGCATGTGCTCTGACTGGGAAT